TATATCGTAATTAGGAAACATATATTTTAAATTTAGATATATTACAAAATTATTGTTATAAACTATCAAGAATTAAAACATGTAATCAAAAAATATTTAATACTAATTGTTTTACTGATTACATATTGTTTGTTGAATTACACATACATACATATATAYATTTATATTAGTTAGCTTAAGTTATTATTAGCTTATATAACAACTAATTAAATGCTAAATCATATTTATATCGATTATAGATAAGTAGGTAAATATAAATCGCAACTATTATTGATATTCTTCTATGTCTTAAATATATATTTCCAATTAAAGATGTACTATTTTACTCGTATCTATGTTTTAAAATGTATTAAATGTAGTCAATTTAAAAATTGTTTTTAATTTCATATTTATTTAATATTACAATTACATATGTTAGGTACATATAAAAATCTTAATTATTTAAAAAAATCATATGTCYAAGAATGAAACACGTAAACAATGATATTTAATAATGATATGTAAAATGTATGATCAGAGGTTATAAAATATATTCTTTTGTACCTAGTTGTATATAACAATTTGAAAACCCCATATAACTAATTATTATGGTTTACAACTTAGTCAGCTTGGATGTGCCAAAATAAAACCATCTCTAAGTATAGTTCGGTTGTGTATAGTGGCCTGGTGGATTTACACGCACCGTCGCCCGTTCGAATCCCGGTCATGGGCGGCATCGCTTTCCGGGCAGTTCATGCTTTCTAGGGAGAGAGGCCGCTGCCCCTCATCCGGGCATGTCAGAAACCTACGGGTGCCCAATTCCAAATTCTGCCAAAAACCACACACATGGACCAACAAACCTACCCAACCCAAAAACCTACAATACCCTTCCTACGCACAATGGTTATGTTTCCGCGGGTTAATTAATAATAATAAAAATAATAATAAAAAAAAGTATAGTTCGCCGATTTAGTTGTTATAATAATGATCAATATAATCAGGGTTTTGGAATAAACAGGATATAAAGATATTATTTTGGTTAAAAGGTTGAAAATTCTTTAGGTAATTCAAGGTTCTTTATAAGTTGTTCTTAAAGCAATTTCAAATTATCAAAAATACATACTATGCATACAATTTTTTGGCATTTGAATATCTAATTTTGATAAAATTGGTTATTTTAAATGGAAAATAAAGATATTTTTAAATACTATCTAAGTGCATAATGAACTTTTCAGAATATTTTGACTAATTTTAAGTTATTAATATTATATACCCATTCACGAGGTTCGACTTCAATTTTTTGTTTATTCGAACAATAAACACAACCATTACTACCTACTCATTGTGATGAGGTAATTTCGTACTTGATTTTGGTTATTGATAATGTTATTAAGTTCTAAGTAAACACAACGAATACCACGAATATAAAACAGCTTGTGTATTTCATTTCATCGGATACAATTTTAAAATTTTGGTCAGAATATGAGTTTTTCGTATTCGTCATGTTAAAGTTTAACATATTATTTAATTTGTTAATTGAGGAAAAAGTTAAAAACTAAATAATACACATATTATTATCAAATTATTCTGCAGTCCGAGTAAATGTTATCTATATGGCTTGACAACTAGCTAAAAGCTGATCAAGAAACCTTTAAACATAAATAATTATTATTAATCACTTTACTGTCAGATAAATATAGGCATGCATATATACTTGGATTTATTATAAAAAACTGATTGTGGTTAGGTTACTTATATCTATATTCCGCACACGAGGAATTTATGAAAAGTAGTTAACGAGACATGATATTAATATATATCTGAATAAAGAAATGCTGTGATTTGCTAATAGATCGTAGTATGTAGTCAGTGGAAAAGATTAACAAATTCTATGATGACCATAGAAATAATTTATGTCTACAGCGATTTTTAGGAAAAGTGACCCTCGACAGTGGCGTGTCTGGTGGACGTTTTGTTGCAGGGGCTCTAAAAATGATAGCGTTAGTTCACATGTTGCAGTTTTGTAGAACTACCAACTTTATACTTAAAAAATGTTAAGAACCATCATCGTATTTCAGAAATAGCGTACCAGCTACGCCACTGAAAACGACTGTACCTAAATACAAAAAATTCCTTGAATAAAATGTTCAAGAAAATATTATATCCATGCATGAAAATAGATTTTGTAGAACATAAAACTATTGATTTAAATTTTTTTTTAATAAAACTTAAATAAAAGCTAATTTTAATGAGCTTTCAAAATACCCATCTAACTACTTAACAATTAGTTTACTAAATTGTTGTCCATTTATTTTACCTTTTTTTTTTCATTGAACATTTTTGTTTTTGGTCACTTGGATATATTTCCTGTGATCAGTTTTCACTGTTTTCAGTTTTCATCTATGGACATTAATATCTTAACTCTTTACTTCATACTCATAAGAATGAGTGGTATAGTAGTGATCATCCGACTATAATTCAAAATGCTATGATATGAAAACTCTTTGATTATTAATTATTTTAAGAATTCCTAACATTGATGTGATTCTGATTAAAACAATTTCAAAAACTTACTTCTGTATCCCTAAGTTTAAATGATTTATGTCAARAAAACTTTAAATAATAATAATAATAACTATTTTAGTTATATTATCATATTATATTTAATAGTGTTAATACCATGATTTAATCTTAATACTATAATATTTGCATGTAATTATGAATTCAATAAATTATYGGCTATCTATTCGTTTAATTTTAATTCATTTTTTAATAAGTATATGAACTATGAAAGTAATTATTGATTATTAATCATTGCGATTAGTACCTATATGATATTATAAATATAAAGCATAAAACATTGCGTTGTTGCTATCTATGACCTTTGTTTTTTTTTGTTTTTCTTTAAAAAAATACAACATTTATAACTTTGTAAATATTTTAAAAATATTATCATATAGCTATGGATAAATTAAACATTAATTGAGCTAATGTGATATCATAATATGCAGTTCAGGTTTAATGATACACTCATAACATGTGTAGGCGCAAAGATATGTGGACATTGGACATTTTATACAGGTGCAAAGTGCATAAGAGTGATTTTTATATATACAGTTAGTGTTGGATTTATGAGTCAATTAAAAGTATTTTGTTTTCAAATGTATGTCATCATTTTAATTCATTTAGAATTAACTWATCATATTAAATTCATTATAGAGCTATTTTTGTTAATGTTGTGTAGTATGGTGCACATAACACATATAATTTCATAGTTAAATTTTTAAGATAGGTACCAGGTTCCTACTAAGGAAAAATGTGAATTACCTGATTATCAAGTGATATTATTTTTTTTAAGTATGTAAGTGTATTGAATTTTAATATTTAAAATTAATATTTTCATTTTTTTATTTTTATACTATCCTAAAAAATGCAATAAACCGTATTTAATTTCAATAAAATGCGTTAGTTTAGAATCAAAATATTGATCAAATAATAATTACCGTTCTGAATTAAATACTTATGCTTTATCTCATAAACTAATAGGTATATAGGTACGTAATATGTATTTCAAGAGTTTAATTATTTTTTTCTATTATGTTGGCCTCACAAATTGTGAGTCACAATTATTAATATTGGCTCATCTAACTAACAATATATTGTGATTCGTGTTTATTATGGAACATAAGTAGTTGTTGTAATATTTTAGATTTCTGATGTTTGKGTTAGTATATTTAATATTATTTATAATATATCAAGACAAATAAATGCGAAAATCGTTCGAAACACAAATGTTCTAAAACTTTTATTGGGCGTCAGTAAGACAAAACACCGCAATTAAAATAGGTGGAATACGACCCATGTACCCATCGTTATTGATATATAYTACCTGTATAATATACACGTTTGCTATTATAAATAATGATTACATTTATGTTATCACTAATGTATAATAATATAATTAATATTTTATCGACAATGGTGTCCATAATATTACATTAGATAATCCTTGGTTTATCTAAATTTCTTCGCGAACCATCTAGAACAATCTAAGGGAACTCCTACACATAATTATGATTTATACCTAYATGGTATTATTATATTATTTATACAGAGTGAATAGAATACATTATGTATATACGTTACCGAAAAAAACGTAAATTAAGGAATTAATGTTAATGACTAGTTAATAACGATATTTCCGATCAAATTTGAAATTAGACAGTACACGATATTTACTAGGAAATAACATTAATGTCCATTGTTTTTTAGTAATGGTGCTTACAGAATAATATTTTCTAGGCAATTTTCAGACATAATTCATAGAAATGTTAAATCAGCTATTTGTTTATTGAATTAGAAATGGCCTTGCGATGTAAAATCGATTTATTGATTAATGTAGGTATATAATCAGTAATTATAATAATGTATTTTTCGTCTTTAATAAGTTTATGGTCCTACATTAGGTACCTATTAAGTAAAAGATGTATATCGAATACCTATATAACTGTTGTCTATATTGTTAGTATACAATATAAATCACGATAACTTGTTTGTTATGAATGTTATGATAATTAATTAAATAATAATATTTGTATTTACTTACGCCTATTAGCAAATTGCATAACATGTATCTAGTACTTACTAACTTCGAAATGCACAGCACATYAAATTGTGAAAACAAATTATTTAATTTATGTGCCTGACTAATATTATCTATAATTTATTTAATATTACATTTCTGGACCAATTTAAATATTTCGCTGTACTCAACATATTGTTATCAACATTGACTATCAATATTAGACATTAAGGTGATCTCCTAGTCATATCAGTAAATGTGTTAGCAAAATATTAGATTTTTACAACATTGACTATGCTATCAGTTAATACCTATGTATTGATGATATCATCTACTTATGTTAGGAGTTCATGACAAGGCTGGATTGGACAAATTCGTGGAGTCAAAACAAAATATATACAAGGGATGATTTCCCATGCAACATCACCCCTCCCACCACCATTTATCCTTTAATCGTGAATTTATTCAAATTCTGGTTTTTTAAATTTTTATGATACATTCAAGATAATATTTTCAAATTCTTAATTTTTTTTGTAGATACTAATTTTAAGGGGTGTCCTACTATGGCCATACAAACTTCAATTTTTTCAAATGAGATAAGACTATTTTTTTCTGTAAATTATTCAGTGAATAATTTTACTGAACATTTTGATCTACTTAATTAAAAATTCAAATGATAAGTTAATCARTTATTAAAATATTTCTGCTACGATTAATAGTCCTTAAAAATTGTTTTACAAAAGTATAAAGAAGCTATAATATTGGATCTAGTATTTACTATACTTGGATTATTTTTACAAAATAAAAATGTTAATAATAAATATTTATCGCAAAAAAATTTCAAAACACCATACATCTCATATCTTCTAAAGAAAAATTTTGAAGAAAAATAGTAGTTCTAGTCATYCTGTATATTTAATTTTTTTGTAAGTATCTAAGTAATTTATGTAGGTAAGCATATATATTTTAAACGTAATATTGGCCGGTAATGCAAYATAACATTGCTCAATATTAATTAATCACCACAAAATCATAGTCCTGCGTTACAGTGTTGATAATATTTACGGAATATAACGATATTTTTCTTCCAAAATCAAAATGTGAGTACATTGTATGAAAAAAATCCATGGAAGTTACATTGCAGTAGGGTAGCCGAGGATGAATGTTTATTGAATGCTCATTAATTTGTTCAATGCTTTGTTTTATTTCCAATGTCTTATTTGCTATAGTAGTATAATACTATAACGTGTAAGCAAAAATAGTACAGCCATCTGGGTGGTTCCACTTTCCTCCAAAAACGAGATACCGTTTTTCTCCACTGTCCATTTTCCTCCACATTATTTTCAACTAAAATTATGACTATTTTCCTCCTGCAATGTTTTAGCCAGAGTTGTAGTACTAAGTTCCGTATTATAAATATAGATTAAGACTAGTATTACAGTTTGCGCTTATTGGTTGATGATTAGTGATTAGTGATTACATTCTGATATCGACTATCTATATCAGCTATTGAAAAATGCTAGTCCAAGTAATTACAAAAAGTAAAATCTGCTTTAGGCGTCGGTTGCGACGCGCATCATGGCCGATCGAATTCCGGTCATGGGTGGCATCGCTTTTTGGGCAGTTCATGCAGTCTGGAGAGAGAGATCACTCGGACATGGCAGAATCTTACGGGTGCCCAATATAAAATTCTGCCACATACGTGTACCAACAAACTTGCCAAACCCAAAAACCCAAAAACCTACAGTACCCTCCCAACATCCAATGGCTTATGGTGCCGTGGGATGATTAATAATAAAAAATAAAAAAAATAATCATTCATATTATATATAATTTTTCTTTTATTTAAACAAGTCATTTGTTGCTGAATTGTTCTATAATTATAAAAAAGTATAATATTATAATTTATTTATTTATCATTTTTTTTTTTTTTTTGTTGCTATGTACCTATATATTGTATAAATTATTTATACTGACTATTTTATTATTTTATTTATTATTTATTGGAAGAAAATAGTCAAGAATTATTTTTATTTTTTTAGAGGAAAATGAACAGCGGAGGAAAACGGCATCTCGTTTTTGGAGGAAAATGGCTAAGGCTAGAATCTAGATTCACATAATAATGATAGCTGACAGGCCAATATGTAATAGTGTAATAGTTCAAGTCGTGACAAACTGATAATCTTGGAACTACTTATTTTCTAAACATTTTCCATAGTATTTTCTATGTTCTATCAACAGATTAAAAGGGATACACGCGATAAGTTTTTTATTTATAAAATGTAGACATGGATGCAGAGCACATAATATTATATAGAGGCGGAGAGTAATAATTTTGGTACCATAATACGATATACTTATAAACATTCACTATAAGTATAATATTCATAATTAATGAGTATCCAATGAATTTTATCATAATTGCGCCAAGGTCTGAAGTTTTTTCACCACTGATGTTAGCCTTAGTTTGATTTTCAATTAGCTTAATAATGTATCTATATAAAATATTTTTTTTTCAAGTATTTTTCGGTGTTAAAATCATTATAAAATAAAATTCAAAACATATACAGTTGTAACGAGTAAATATTTTGAGAAATACATTTTATAAACACTAGAGGTACTTATGTAATGTAAACTAATGGTTAATTATATATTATATTACACGTTACAAGCATGATGTGGATCGAATTTTATCAATATYACAAATTTAATTTTAATAAAAAAAACACACATGTATTTTTTACTGGCCTATTAATTATATAAAAATATATATAACGTTAAAATTGTCATGGAATACTAAAATGTATAATAGTTGTATTGATACAAAGTATTATCTATTTCAAAAAATTTATTTCAAATAAATGAATATTAGAATACAATACTAATGGAGAACGCGCCAAATATTGACCATATTGATGGTAAATTATTGATTAATTCTATCTCATAATTTCGTATTTATTTAAAATATGTTTTTCTTCAAATATTTTATAATTTTGCTATAGATTAAGTGCGTTTAATATAATAATAATTAACATTTGATTTGTTTAACTTTAATATATTGTATTTTAAAATATTTTTTCTAGTGAACACKGTGACCGAAGAAGTAACTAAAATATTTGGAAAAAATGGTAAAAACAAATTGAAAACATTAGTGCAGAATGAAAAAGTTTATTTAAAGTAAAGTGTAAAAATCAATTTTATCATATGTCTTGTCTCAACTGTGATAGAGAATTTTTATTATAATTAYTAGCATTGATAAGTTGAAAGAAGATATGGAAATATTAGCTGAAAAATCAGCATTTGTCGAACTGTTAACTGCAGAAAAAACGTATTTTGAAAACGTCGAATCTTTTAATTCGAACCAACAGAGCGGACACATGATGTTGACGGGATTCAATACAATGTATTCAAGAAGTTATATGGCGACTGTGAAATCGGTCCACAGCGTTAATAATGACGATAAAGTTTATCAATACGAAGTACAACTTAATTCTAATGGGCCGATGCGTATTGGATGGGCCACTCAGAAGTGTACGTTTACYGATGAACAGGGAGTAGGTATTTAACATAATATTTCGATGACAAAAAATACAGTCTATATTAAACGACAGTGCTAAGCTAAATCTGTTATCGATGATAATTTCTTATAATATAATATCTATAATGTCTATGTCTTACAYGTTATTCTAGGAGAAACGGAAAATTCATATGGTTTCGATGGTTATCGTTTAGAGAAGTTGAGTATGTCCAATGCGACGACGTACGGTCGAAAATGGAGGGTTGGTAATATAATCGGTTGCACTATTGACTTGACACACAAATTTATGGAATTTTTCAAGTATTAATATTGAAATTTTATTATGGTATACTTAAGTTTAATAGTAGGTATAGCTGCGGGATAGTTTAATTAAATAGGTGTTCAATTAATAATTATAACAAATAGGTATACAATACAAGTGGTCTATTCTTCTCTCCTTTGTTTTTTTACGATATTTTAATTTTTAAGTGAATTATGAGTAGAGCTCAGAAGTGTTAGGCATTTCATATTAATATTTTGTTATCGATTTATAACATACCAATCTTAGCTATATAATGGTGAGCTATAAATTTAAAATTGAAAACGCATATTTTGTATGTTTCGTTAATTTTAAGGAAAACATTTATGACTCTTGATTTCCATACGCATATAATTATCCATATTTTATATATTCTAAAGAATTGATTTTATTCTTTTTTAAACTATGTAATTTAATTATGATATCGAATATTAAACTCAATATTATTTATTGTAGATTGTAGTATTTATTATTATTGTCGCAGTCGACTATTAATTTAACGGCAACGGCGCGATGTGCATTTAATCTCTATCGTGCTAATATATTTATGTGATAATTAAGTAGGTATCAATTCAAATATATTTTGTAAACAATTTTTTCTGTTGAATAAAATTACAAAATGTAAAAAGTTTCCGTTATATTTGAAATATGATATATATTTCTATATGTTATATTTTTTTTAGGGAGAATTAAGTACAGAATAAAATGGTTTTTTTTTTGATTTTGATGAATATTTAAT